ATGAGCAGCTGAACAGAATTATGGTTAGATTTCACTTGGACAGCACCGCTCACCCTTCTATGCAGTGCATAGCTGTTTCATACTTGTGCCCATCTCATGGAGCTTTAGCGACTTCCGATTCTCCGGCTAAGAGTTTGAACATTTAACCGCTCGAACATGAGCAGCTGAACAGAATTATGGTTAGATTTCACTTGGACAGCACCGCTCACCCTTCTACCGCGAAAGTCACATCAGGTAATTAGGTTTTGATTGGCCGCTCGACTGATAACTTCTCAGATGGATGACTCATTCGTCATGTGAACTATTCCTTCTTCTGAGTTATCTATAGATAATCGCGATCAATATCTATAATTTAATCACAATAATTTATGCAACTTATTTTACAGTTGAAGATTAATATAAATTAAAAGATTATATATATTTATTGGGTACAATAGTCCTCTTCTGTGAAATATTCCGCCAACTGCACCTGTTCTTGTGCTGGTTGGTCGCTTAAGTGACAACTAGGAATCAAAATTAGTGTTAGCTGTAGACTATTGTCCCTTGTGAGTTGAACATTTACTTACTGAAACATTTTGGTTGATAAAGGGACAATTTCCTTGGTTCCTCTCCGGGGGTGTCGTGCTTAGTTGTAAAAATGCAGATTGCTCGTCATAGACTTCATGTAGGCGGATTCATGAGTTTGATGAGAGTACGCCATTTATTACAGGAGCAGTTAACTTATTTTCTAAAGAAAGGCAGTAACGGTCATTGTCTTAAGTCAAGAGGAAACTTTCGCGCCACTTTATTCACTACATCTGCAGTTTGTGACTTGCATAGTCAACTGACGCCGACGTTAGCTTTACAAACCTCATTGATTAAGTAGGTGAGAAGATATTAACTAATCTGTAGCTATCTTTAGGTCACATATTGATGGCCGGACTGGACAGGCTGTTGAATTCCGTGCGATTTAAACTCCCGGCATTCCAGAAAAGCATGCTTTCAGCTATGCTGTAATATCCTGGCATCTCAAATGACCACTGTTATTATGAAAAATCCAGGGGGCGGAATTCATCACAATCACCATTCAACTTTGTTTATCATTCCAAAGGTTTAGTAACACCACAGTGGTTTTTTGACCTTCTTGTGTCTGTGGAAAATGTAAGGCTACAAAGTGTTTTCCAAAGCCCGGCTAGTAAAGATTTCAAATACGCGTTCAAACCGTGTGCGCATGAACTGATTACTTAAACCCTATCTGCCGGCATTCATAAGCCTCGAGGAATTTATAAATATCCGAATTTCCAAGTACAATAAAATATTTGAAAAACAGTTGTTGACCCATAACTTACCTTCAGTGCCTGGATGCTACGCTAGCCAAAGGAAGCACAGGGGCTGAGATGCTACCAGGCTTCCCAAACCCAGACAGGAGCAGTCGAGATGCCGGGGTTGGGTTTGAACGCCAACATTTCGATCGCTAAATCCGCGCCTTAAACACTGAGCCTGAAACACGAGCTGAAACCTTCAAGTACGGGTTTCTATAACGTACTGTACCATATGTAAGAAGTGTTTTCCAAAGCCCGGCTAGTAAAGATTTCAAATACGCGTTCAAACCGTGTGCGCATGAACTGATTACTTAAACCCTATCTGCCGGCATTCATAAGCCTCGAGGAATTTATAAATATCCGAATTTCCAAGTACAATAAAATATTTGAAAAACAGTTGTTGACCCATAACTTACCTTCAGTGCCTGGATGCTACGCTAGCCAAAGGAAGCACAGGGGCTGAGATGCTACCAGGCTTCCCAAACCCAGACAGGACAGGAGCAGATGCCGGGGTTGGGTTTGAACGCCAACATTTCGATCGCTAAATCCGCGCCTTAAACACTGAGCCTGAAACACGAGCTGAAACCTTCAAGTACGGGTTTCTATAACGTACTGTACCATATGTAAGATGTCACAATCGATAATCAATCGATTTTCTGGTATCCAATCCACCGCTGTCCCAGTTGTCACTCAACCGGACAATCTCAGTTGTGTTGAACAGTATTCAAAGTGAAGAAGGATGTGTTATAACCGATTAAAAATTGATTGTCGTTCACTGGTGTGCCGTGCACCATGCGGCGCAAAACGTCTGAAAATTGTCAACAAGTAGTGCTTGCAAAACCCACCATGGAACACCCAAGAAAATTTGCTCTTGAATGGAGAAACATCCTTTTACCCTCGCTACCATTTCAAGGACTCGTTTCTGCCTTCATGCATTTGATGATCCGTTGCTTCCAGAGTTTTGATGATCAACTTGATAATGAGCTTCATGAGACTGGGGCAGTATGTGCGGTACGGAGGATAGTTCCTGGTCGAAAGCAGACCCTATTGGATTAGAAGTAGAGCTCATCCGTGACCTCTTATTAAGCTCACTGCTACCTCGGATTCTGCTCTCTGATTCTGCTCATCAAACAGTGAGTGCCAATTGGCGAAATTGGGTCTTAAGATTATGAATACGGAAGTGTCGCCAGTGTGCACCAGACTCACAATAGTTCTCCTTTTTCACAAACACAAGAGATTTTTTGTCATTCAATTTGCAACAGTGTTCTCTCTTTGACTGTTTGCTGGCAACATTTGCGCGGAAGTATTTTTGACTAAGATCATAGACATTCCATGTTCGAACATTGTGGTATTGGATGTGGAGGTTGAGCAAGGAGATTAAATCTCACTCTAAAACACTTAAGAACGCTCATTTGCATAAACTACGAAATGCATTCATTTGCGAACTAAGCTTGTTTCAACGGAAGACCCAACGAAATCTCACCTAAACTAAGTTTTGGGCTCAAGTAGAACTTGAGTCTGACAGAAAGCTGATTGGTCCCAAGATCGACTAAACCGGTTGTGGACTGTTGAGGAGTGTACGGCAACAGTCATGTGTTCCGCGCTTCATTCATGTTGTCATTAATACTCCGCTATAAAATTAGGTCTACGAAAATTAATCGTGTAGAACTAAGTTCCATTGACCCGTCGTTCCAGTGATCCGCCGTACCACTAGATACAGCAAACGAAAATCCATATTTTGACACGGAGCAAGAATACGCTGTGACTTTAAACTGGATAACACACACATCGGCCAGCAAAACCCTGACTAATAATTCACCATTACTCATCAACTGACCGCATAGATGTAGCATCGATCCCCCTAACATCTCCCAACACATAGAAATATCAATCGGAGACAGACATCCAGATATTTTTGGACATAGCGAAATAAGGTGATCCGGCATTTCGCAAACCTTCACTTCCGCCCCCCCCCCCTTCTTCTGCCTCCATAGTAAGAGATCAAAATCAATGGGTAATAGTTGAAACAAAAGAGGGTTAACCACCTCAGAGGGTTGCAAACAATCTCTAATCCAAGGGTTTGATCAACCGTGATATAATGGGTTCCTCACTCCGGAGAACCTTTCGTGGTAAGCTATTGTAGACAAACTGAAAAGTTTTAAACGCATTTCCAAAATATTTAGGGCATGCAGTATCAGGCCTATGTAACTGCCTTTGTTCATGAGAAACCATTCTGTAGCTCTCAGTCAGCCACCACTTTTACCTGAGCAAACAAAAGGCACATTAAATGGCAACCTCCGGGCACTTGTTTCTATGGGTCATTAGTTTATCGCTTCAAAAGAAGCAAAAAACTCTCCCAAATTCTTTTCGTTGGGTTACTCTAACTGGAAATCATAGATCACTGTGGATACTTCCAAAAGTTCAAGCCTCTCAATCTGCGAAGGTATAAGCCAAGGTATTCCTGGACACTTCTAAAAGTGACTGACAGACTTGGATGCAAGAGTTCTCCCATGTGTGCAAAGAGGAATCCACTAAAGGAATAGCTTTGTAGCAAACACTGAAAATGGAAAGCTGTCTATCCGAAGAGTGGCCTTCAACACACTGATGTGTGTTCATTGTAAATGTTGTCGTTACTACTAAATACCATCAGTGTATTTTGAAAAGACAAGAAAAAGCCAATCCTACCGAGATCTGGTTTCAGTTTCGTTGCTTCATCGCATCGGACTGGTATCCCTTCATCCCTGTTACCGTTTCATAGGGAGGCTTTAAGGCACCCATTTTGCACCCACGCCGAGTTAGTGGCTGATGTGAAACCAGGGTAGAGATGTATTATCACAACAGGCACCCAATGTGTGGGCCGCTTCTCAAGCTAGGAAAAACCATCCGTTTTCATGTAACTTCCTTAAGATTTATGTTACTAACGCTTTGTCGGCTTTCAGATATCTCTCATTGCCCGCCGAACATTATCGGTTGTATGTCGTGGGATGGTTGGATAGCTTTCCAATTTTGTGCCATCTTTCAGCTGATATGTATGGTAAGACTGCCCAGTACTCCCATGGATTCTGAAACCAAAAAAACAATGGGCTAAGAACCAAAGAAACAGCGGTATTCTTGCAAGCTTCAGAACAAAATCCACCGTCACAAATCTTGACGATTCGACTCTCAAGATTTCAGTTTAAGTTCACGACTTGCATTTCTCGGCCCTGCAACATAAAATAGCATTAATTGTGGAAAGTTTTATCAGTTGCCCCACCATCTCGTTCTGTGTCCGTACACCTACAGGCTTCACATAATACCCAATCGACCTCCATAACATAGCTACTTTAACCTGAGGGGTAGATCAACCACGATGTACTCGCATGCTTACTTAATTTCTACATCCTGGTTGCATACCAGAATGGGAGTAAGTTATTGGAACCAAAAAAATGATCACATCATGCATTAACCTTGAGATCATATTCACCAAGTCACACGTTCTCGTGTTCACTCTCGCGCACACACAAACGCACACACACACACACATACTAAGACGCTGGCATCAACGTTTCTGACGCAGGTGAGTGGCAACTGCACGAACACCATCCAATCATCTTTTAATTTCCGTATTTCTCAAGTGGTTGATGATAGGTGTGCAAAATTGATTGGAACTCTGAGTTATAAACGTCGGTTGAGCAGATGTGTTTACGCACAAATCGGACCCAGGACCAACCGCAACGGTCAAATGGGGGAATCACCGGCGAAATCCCTAACACCGTTCTACCAGAATTTGGCAAAAAAGGAAGTTGGTGAGAATGCCGAACATGTGATGGCACATTTGACCAGTTTCAAGCGTTGGTTAGCAGCCTCGCCGCATCTCAAAATACCTCAAGGTAAGTTCCATTTAGAAGAGCAATCTCCCCAAGGTAGAACAACATATGAAATCTGACTTTTTATCGCAAGACTGCAGACAGTTTCAAAATTCACTCTCAAGATACACGCTTTGATCAACATGGTGTGATGAGTTAGTTGAATCACCATGAGGCTAAACTATGCAACACACTTTTGCCCACAGTCTTTTGTAACAGCTGCACAAAATACCTACGATAATTCACCTCCGGATTGAATAGTACGGTGGTTCACCTTATAAAAAAGTTTATTATAAGTTGAATTATGGGATATCTAATAATTCGATTTTTCCTAGATTAGCATCGCGCTCATACAAATCAAACGTTATATCCCTCTTTCTGGCCAGCATATCGCTTAGCGCTGCCACTTGACGTTTAGAGCTAATTGTTATAGTTATGACTCTTACAGGTTGAACCTCTTTCCCCAACAAACTGAAGGGAAAAACATACTCAACTGAAAACCAATTGTCACCTGAACCAAAACAAGTGTCACTTGTAATTCAAGCTCACCGGTTACTCAGTGTGATCGCTGATTACACTGTTTTGCGGCCAAAAGTCTGAGGCTGCCAACCAGGGATCACTTCATCTGTTCCTCTACCACATCCCTTCGAAATATTGATAGGAAATAAAATTACACGCAATCTGGTTTTGAAGAGCAAACATCTGGCAGTTATATTTTGACTTACTTCGTTGTTTAACGAACGTCGGTGACGTGTTACTTACAATCAGTCAAGACCGTTTTCCAAATGCTTCACCTGTGACCGATACCCGGGAGTTAAAACATCTATCTGCTGGGATGTGCTCCCCGCAACATGTTGTAAAACTCTAACCAAACCACCCTAAATAAAGAGAACCATGTTGGTTATGTTGGAAGGCCAGAATGATTGCATATTTATGCACGAATGCCAATCAGACTGCTGTGTAAATTAACTATACAGTGTCGTATGATACACAGAGGGTAATTTCTTTGATCATTTCATCAGCATGCCACCCAAAAAGGTTTTTCCTTCTTTATTGAAGCGGTTTAGTCTGTGTAGACTCCGAAATGAAATGTATCTACACTTATCAGTTAAAATTTGCTGTAGGGGAAAACATTCAAAATAGTGTCACGTGATCTGCGGCTTCAGGATATCACCGCTGGTACCCTGGGCACCACAGTGAATTCTCAAAACTTGAAAAGTTTTGAGATATTTCTGACGGAATTTGGGGCTGCGTGGCTGCTAATTAACTTTCATCAGTTCAAGACCAAGCAATATCGTCATTTTTTATTCCCAGATCTCACATGGACACTGAAGCATTTGAAGTGGACAAGAGCTTCGTCCAGTATCCTAGTCCGCTTACCAAGCCAAAGTTACAAAACCACCCTTTCTCCAGTGCCCACCTTGTGCTTCATCGCCACAGTGACATCCATTACCGCAATATTCAATGCAATAATGCTGTCTAAAAATGGATATTGTTTGTTTTCAACGACTGAGAATCCCAATGGATGAGGGTTATTCAGTTATAAGTAGACAGGCACAGAATATGCTCATATGCCGTCACAAGATACTGGTAAATGTCGTTGGAATATCGTTATATTTAGCACTGTTGTCTGACTGGTGCAAAGGCCCTGTATTCATTTGTCACATACCTGAGTTAAGGGGTATTTTGACCTTCGATTTCATACGCCGTCGATAACTTAGTGACCGATCGAGATTTTATTGAGTTCTTTAATTATTAGTCTGCGACGGAGCGGTAAATTCTCAAATCCCCCGCACGATCGTTTAGACTACCGGACCTCTACAGTGCCAATGTGATTACCACTAAGTCACGTGCATCCGGTATTGCGTTACCCGATGCTGCAGAAAGTCGGTATATTCAGTCGCACTTGTCAAAATTGGAGTAAGAAATCTAGACGAGAACGTATATGCATAATGTGTGTACTTGGTCCTTGGGATCTACCAAATCTCTATCTACTTATTAACAACATGTTAGGAGGCTGAGGGGGTGGTACTTAAATCATAGCATCTGGATCAGAGGAAAATTCTCTTCATAGTGGTCGAAGAATGCAATGAAAGTTTTGCCACACAAGCCGAAAAGAGTCGGAGGACAAGGAGAAAGCAGGTAGACGAGCAGAATTAAAGCGAACCTAAATGTGGCATGGGCTTTTGTTCTACGGGTTCATCATCCAACATTTGACTGCGTGATGTGATTGCGTGTTTCAAGGACGACTGGCACCATGCGCTGTCTGACGTGGGTTTATCTCAAAATGGATCATTGATGTTGTTATTTTTATTAACATCTTTCACAATAAGACACCAGTAATACAGACTGGAACTTCACTTTCATAAAATTACGAGGAAAGAAGTCCTCGGTAAAAAGTGGAGGGCAAAGGTAGGGGAATAGTGCAAGTAGGTCATATATCCCCAGGGAAGATGACCAAGAACAAACTTCCTGTGTGAACTGGATTGAACGAAACAAATTTCAGTATTGTGTTGAGTTAAGGTGCCACCTTCCAAACATCTTTCCTAAACACCAAAATTAGGCGCAGTGCACTAAAAACGAACTTTATCTTAGCAGTCCGGTTAGTAATTGCCAGAAGACGTACCACTGTGTTTGGTTTCCTGCAGAGTTTTCTGTCACATGAAAGGAAAATCACATTGGCCCCAATTAGGAAGTTTCAGAGATCTCAAAGCACTCTGACTTCAACCGCTTCCATTTCACGTTGCCGTATTATAGCCTGTCCTCGTTGAACCCTCTACCAACAGTAGTTTGAGACAGAAAACAAGGCTTTCGTTGAAAGGTGGTTGTTTAGCATGTCACAATCATCTTAACCTGATAATTTTTACTTCCTTTTGCTAACCGGCTACCCGCTTAGGTAACATCTTGTTGCGTCTGCAACTAGCTAACTAGTGCTGTACTAAGGAGGAGCTGGAAGACAGCTGAGGTTCTCTGACTCGATGGGCTAGCTTCAGCAGACCACTCCTACAAATATCTTTCGAACACAGTACCACAATTTCAGCAAAATTCGCCATAAGTGACATAAGTTGGCAAACTTTTCCTGCGCCTTAAACACCAACTGATTTCATCTGATATGGCACAATCATGGCAAAATTAAGAAGCTCAAGTCCCTCACTCTAAACTTTCGGACAAACACATAGGACCAGGGAATCCTGAAAAAGCCCTTAACTTTGAATGTGGAAAAATGCATACCAAAATGCCGGCAACATCCGATTTCATGTTTAAGGAGCCTCATGTAGACGAATAGTTGTCAAACAACAAAACCAAATAATCTGCGTAATCCGGTAACCGCTTTCTAGACGTGATTGCATTACTTACATGTGTGTTTCCTTGGATTATGTCCTCCAAGGTAACGTAGATGGCACAACCAAACGAAAACAAGGGGGGAAATCGCCAAGCGAAGCCCACCAATAGGGCTGAAGCTTTTGGATAGTTCGTTGCACATAATAACCCGATCGGAGATATGGGGTTGAGAGCAGAATGAGTGATTCGGGCTTCAAGGGAACGCCCTAGCGCCAGACATATCCACCGGAGCTCATTTATTCGCATGGTCTAAGCTACATTGGATAGATACTGGAGACATATTTGAATTTCCTATAACCAGGGTGTGAACTCTGTGTACACTTTCCAGAAGATTGCTCGTTACCAGGACGCCAGTACCAAAACTACGGTAGCCGAAAAATATGTACACATCTCAAATTGGTGCGTGTTTAGTGTCATTCGGCACTCAGAATGTAAGACTTCTGACTGTCGACAGGTGATTCAAACCAACAAGTTACCAAATTTTTATTTTGATGACAAATCTGGATCCCCTGCCTTCAATGTGCGACTAAATTCGCCAGTCTCCTACTTCCTTGGTGGATGAAGCTGTCAGCTCAAACCTGCACGAAGGTTTTGGGACCCATCTCTATTATAAAACTGTCCATAAGAACGATGAAAAGTCTGGAGACACACTTTTTTGGGCTTAGTAAATATGCCTTTCGCACGAATCTACACGAAACTCGTTCCGTACTTGACGGTCAAACTAAAAGTAGATTGGGATAGTTACTCGTCCAAAAATTAAGTTAATCCTATCGGAAAACTCAAACGAAATTCAGCTGAACCCAGTTTTTTATTTGATTACAATGACAGTTGTAACTCTTGCAATCATTGCAACCATCTGAGAAAATCGCTCTTTCCACTCTAATTCAGCAAGTCTTAAGTACGCAAGCACTTAAAGTGGCATAATTTTACTGCAAAGAATGTCGCTGCACACAGTGTGAGCAGGTCACAACACGCCGCACAGTCTGATTGTCAAACTCGTCAGTCTTCAGAATGCAATTTCTTACAGGATCATTTGCTGTTTTCAAATACAAAGACCTCAACTTGCTCACAATTCGACTGATTAGGGCGAATTTCAAATGGGAAGTAAAAGATAAATAATCGCGGGTCGGGGGAGCTGGAAAAATTGACGTGGCTGCCATTCAACTCCGAATGTGCACATCATTGTTCTAGTGTGAGGAAAACTATTATTTTGTGATGTAAATTACAGGTGACTAGTTTGCGACGCATGAGGTCTAAGCCTACAAAGACAGAGGATTTCGGCCGCTTATTCTGTTACAAAATTGAATCAGAAGTCATGATGATGCTGCGGAACCGTTTGCAGCACAATAATCATGTAGTATGTTTTGATACTCTACTGTCTTGTCATTACTAAGTAAACAACGAAACACTCAACTCACTTCTCCGTCAATATAGTGCAAAGGATATAACCAGATCTCCACCCAGCTGTCGTATACCATCAATTCTTACAAGTGCTGACCCTACTTAACCATATATATATATATATATATATATATATATGTCGAGTAGGAAACGGAACAGAATTCGTTGTTCAACCTTGATAAAACCCGGGTACCTGTTGCTCGTTCATCGCCCCGGCAGTTCTTCACCTAAGTCCTTTAGTAAGACAGTGGGTACAAAGGTGTTTTAGGAGCTTTAGTCCC